CTGAAGCACGTCACCCCTGAGACCACTTCCTCTCGCCCTGCTGGCTGACCCGTCCCGCCACCACAGAACAGGCAGCAAAGGCCGAGCCCTCCTGGGCAGGGTGGGGGAACTACCCTGGGGCCTGCCCCTCTTTCTCAGAACGGACACGACCACACGGACGACCAGGGAGGTGCCAGCAGGGCCCCAGCAGAAACCCAGGCAGATGCTCCCCGCAGGGCCCGGCCCCAGGGTTCTCTGCTGGCCCGAAGCAGACTGACCTGCAGCCCCGAGCCCACAGTGCATGAAGCTCCCAGATCACAAGCCCTACCCGCCCCCGCCCGCTCCCGCGCGCCACAGCCGGACAAGAGGCAACACGCGGCTAATTAAAACGGGCAGTGATCTACATCGCGGGTATATTTATCACCAAAACGAGGTTAGAGCCGGCCACGGTGCCCCTGGCAGCCAGCTAAGGGTTCCCGAGTCACGCCCACGCTTCTCAAGGAACAAAGCCCAGGAGACCCTCACACCTGCCCCCTCCCCACACTTCCCAGCCACACGGCGGTGGGCACCCGATGCTGGGCACGGACACGGAGGGGGTTCTCCCAGGGAGCGAGGTGGGACGGCCAAAGGGGTGCGCCCAGTCACCGGGTGTGCACTGGCTGGCGTATGCTCCAGGAGGGCACCCACCCCACACAAACTTGCACGCGCACACACGCACACGCAGCACACATGCACAGACACAAGCGCTCACGCACACACGCACACGCTCACATACACACATGCACACACGTACATGCACAAATGCACATGGTCACATGCACACATGCACATGTTCACACGCACACGTATGTTCGCACACAGGCATGCACGCACATACACAAGCACGCAAGCACACACACGCACATACATGCATGCACACGCACATGTTCGTGCACACACACGCACGCACATACACAAGCACACACACGCACACAAGCACGTGGCCAACTTGACAGAGAGGCACCCACAGGGCCGCAGGATGGTGGGCACGGTGGGCCAGAGGCCCCTGGCATACACACACAGGCCCCTGCAGGCCCCTGCCCCAACCGTCCTCCTCCTCCCAGGCTCAGAGGCACAGGGCAGGCCCTTGCATGGGCCCCAGCAGGGTGACCTGTCAGCCCGAGCACCCTCCGCCCCTGCTCGGTCCTCCCAGAACATCTCAGGTGCCGTGAGACGGGGCTGGTCCCAGGCCCACACACATGGACCTGCCCTTCTTGCTGCCCCTTCGGGCCCACCTGGAAAACAAGGGGCAGAGAGCGACTGACCAGTCCACCCATGCTCACTGGACCACACAGCCCTCCAAGGGAGAATCCCAATGGCGGCCAGCACCCCTCCATCACCATCAGCGGACACACCCTCCCCAGTCCTCTCCTTCCTGCACTGGGGTACCACTGTGAGTCCTGCCCACAGAGGGACACTGAGTTTGTGGGTCAGCCCACAGGGCACTTCAGCAAACAGCCCGTTCACTGCAGGAAGTGGGGGGGGGGGTAGCGGGGCGGGGTGCTTTCGAGAGAAAAACGCAATCCAGCCCCGCCAACAGAAGCCATTCCACAGGGCGGTCAAGTCAGGCTATTGATTAAGAATCTGACGTTTCTCTGGAATCCTGCCAAGAAGGGGAGATAAGATTTTCCTTTTCCCAATGCGAAGTAAATAAACGAGAACTAAATATCAGATACGGCTGATCTGGAGTACGAGCACTGCACACGCGTCTCCTGCCTTCAGTGAGAGACACATCCCAAATTCACCCGGACCCGCAGGGTCCGGGAACCCCACCCTCAGCCCCATCTCTCTTGAGACAGCTGAAGGCTGCATGTTGAACCACGGCTTCCCCTTTTGAACAGAACCACTGGTTGCGTTTCAACCATGCTTAATTATTTGGATGGCTCGGTGAATGGCCCCCAGTCTGCAGGTGAATCTTGGATGGGTAACCGGCAGAGGGGGAAAAAAACACTACCCCACGACCGGAAGTCAGTCTACGCGGCCCGATGAGAAGCTCTGCTGGGTGCTTCTCTACTGCGCTTCCTTGACGTCCAGAAAGTCACTTCTAGGATACACGGGAGCCATCAAATGGCTTTCCTCCATGTGCATCCCCGGAAGAGAGAAAAGGCCAGTCTCGACCGCTGGCTTCTGATCCCCTCAGCTTCCCTTTCTGAAACACTGATGGTAGCCAGGACGGATTTCCCCGCACTCTCTCCGTGCTCACAAAGCCCAAACTTCCAGGCTGGGCTGTGGGGGGCTGTGGGGGGGGCAGCTACGTAAGTGGTGTGAGAAGCAGTGCTGTCAAGCCCAGTTCCCCAGCTCCCAGGGGCCCCTGAGGGCCCGTGTGTGCACGTGTGCACATGTGCGTGTGCGTGTGTGTGCGTGCGTGCGTGTGTGTGTGCGCGTGCCTGTCCATGTGCGCTCAAGCCATGGGGTGAGAACTTAGCAAGGGATGCCCACAGACCCCGTTTCCCGCCATGTTCGCTGGGAAGGCGAAATTTCACGGAGAAAACAGGCCGGCAGGCCGAGCCACGATGCTTCCGAACAACCACACATCTTTCTTCTCAACACACTCACTTAATGCCAACCTAAAACATGCCGGGCAGGTTAAAAATAATGCATTTATGTAAGCACCAACCCCCCACGCGCAAACAAGTGCGCGCGCGCACACACGCACACACACACACACACACACACACACACTCTTGCAAGGTTAAATAGAGAGCTTTGAAAGAATGATTTATGGCCACAGGAACAGAGCCCCAAAATAGATTGGCAATAAAAGTGATTGGTCCCAGGGGGGGTTGCGAAAAAGCCCTGGCCCTCGAGGCGTTGGGGAAAGAGTCTGGGCTGCGCTTCTGGGCCCCGACCCCCCTGACCCCCCGCCGCCCCCGCTACCACCAACAGGGAAGCCCAATTCATATCGTCCAAAAAAATTATTATTTTAAACAAAACCAAACTGGACTGTGAATTCTGGAATGCCGCCCCCACCCCACCTCATTTGGCTCAGAAATCTGCTTTATCTCCTTAGGGTGCTGGGCTCACGCAGGGAAGAGCCCAGAGGGGGAACTGACTGATTCACCACCCCCCAGGCTCAGTTACCTTCCCATGGAAGGGAGGGTAACTGAGCTGGGAGCAGGGGGGTCCGTGACAGTCCCATGCCACGCAGCAGCAGTGACAGCCTAGGAGGTGGGACAGACCCCCACAGCGAAAGAGGCCCCGGGAGGGATGGCCCTGCTCTGAAGCCACAAATGGATAGCCCGCCCCCCCACCCCGCATACACACCCCGAAGGCACCCACAGGGAGAAAAACGGAGCCCCTGGACCTTCTCCCCGGCCCCCGTCCAAGGGCAGGACTCCAGTCCCCACCCCCGGGTCGACCTTGGCAGCGCCTCTGCCCGGAGCTTCCGGTGACGGAGCCACCACATGGCAGCCCGTTCTATTTATGAACTGCTCTGATTGTTTCAAAGTTCTAGGGCTGAAGCTGCCCTCCCGCCGGTCAACAGTGCCAGCCGAGTGCTGTCTGGGATGATGGAGAGAAGTGTCTCTTCTCTCCGGATTCTCTTGGATGGGGGGGGGGGGCGGGCGGTACGGCGGGGTCTGGCTGGGGATCACACTCAGGGCTCACACACGCCAGGCCAGTGCTCTACACACCCCAGCGCCTACAGAGAGGGGTTTCAACGGAGTCAAGAGAGACAATAAGGGACACTGGTCAAGAGAACGGGGGTAGGGGGGCTGGGGAGCTCCCGGCCCAGCCAAGCAGGCCCGACTGAGACAGAGGGGACCTGCGGGGACACGCTCGTCCCCGCGCCCGCAAGGTCTTCCCTGGAGCCCAGGAACCCAACCTCCGTGCTCTGGCAGCCTCAGAGACGATAGCGCTTCTCACATCCTCAGAGCCACCTGCCAGCCAGTCTCTTCAACAAGGCCACTCCGCCCACTAGACCAAGACAGGTCCCATCCCTGCAGGTGGGGACACCCTCTTCCCTCGGCCACATGGCAGGGCCCCGGATGCCCGATCCCAGATCTGGGTCAGGGATTCAGGGACTCGGGGCTGCCACAGAGAGGAAAGATGAGGCACCCTGGGGAGAGACCCACTGCTCTCCCCCCCCAACCCATTCATCCGAATAGGCTCAGGGCTCGGAGACATCGGGCCAAGAAGCCCAGCTGGATCATCTGGGGAAGGCACTGGGCAGCACAGCCGGGTTCTGCCCCATACTGGGGTCTGCAGCCAGGTCACCCAGCACAGAGACCCCAACAGCGATTCCTCAGACAGCCAGAAGCTAGAGTGGAGAGCCCGGGCTCAGGTGTGCCGCATCGGCCAGGGTCCACCGGGGTCTTTGGGGGGACTCGGAACAAAAGCCGTGTGCCCTGAGCAGACAATCCGATTGCACAATCGAGAGCTCGGCGGCGGGTCTGGCTCTGGCTCCCACCCCCACCCCCATTGCCTCCCAGCCCAGCCGGCTGCCCGTGCCCGTGTGTGCGTGCGCACGGGATCCGGATCCGCGAGGGGTGACAGGTGGCGGCGACGACGGAGGAGCCAGGCGAGCCGCTAGCTCGCTCCGGGGCACAAGGGAGGACGACCCAGCTCTGCTATTCCGAGGTGCGCGCGGCGTGGGGTTCCCCTGCGGCGCTGGCCTTGGCTGGAACCGCACGGTCCTGGGGGGCTCCTGGGGGCAGGGCAGCCCCAGCGCGCCGCAGAGCCGCCGCCTGTCACTCCCGGCCACGACCAATGGGGTCAAACCACTCCAGGTTAGCTCGCCCCCCCCCCCCGCGGCGACCACGCAAACCTGGCGGAAGCCTGGGGGGGGGGGGCGAGGCAGAGCGGGCGCGCGGGCCAGTCCCCCTCCCGCCACCCAAGGCCGCCCGCGTCCTCGGCTCGACCCCCCTGACCTCACCCAGGTCTGAGGACGGACCTGAGGACCCCGCCCGGGGGTCCCCCACCCCCACGTCCGCACCTCGGGGACACCCGAGCCTTCCCACCCGCCGCGCCCCCGCACCCCGCACCTGGCCCGCCCTCCTCCGACCTCGGGCGCCGGCGCTGCATCCTCCCGGCCCGCGCCCGGCACTGCGCTCCTGGCCGCGGGCCCCGCCGGGGACGCGGGGACGCGGGGGCGCGGGACGCGGGACGCGGGACTGGGCCGGGCCGCGGGGAGGCGCCGCGCCGCGGTCCCGGGGACGCCCGGGCACGCCCCCCGCGCGCCTCCCCGCGGGGGCCGGGGCCCGAGCACGCCGCGCCGGGAGCCACCTGGCAGCGCCGCCCCCGCCCGCACCCGCGGCCACCGCGGCCCGCCCCCGCCCTCCCTCCGCAGACAATGGCCCGCGCGGGCCGGACCCCGCAGCTCGGCCGGGGGGGCCCCGCGCCCCGCTTCGGCGCGGCCGGGCTCGGACGGTCGGCGGCGCCGGCCGAGGGCCCCGCCGGCACGGGTGGCGGGAGGGTCCGCGCGGCGCTCGCCGCTGACGCCCGCCCCGCCGGCCCCGGCGCCCGGCCGCGGCCCGGGGCCTCCGCCCAGGCGGTCCCCGCCGCCCCCGCCGCCGCCGCCGCGGCCCAGACAAAGAGCCGCGGACGCGGCCCGCGAGCCGCCGCACTCACCCGATCGGAAGAAGGCGGCGATGTCGGCCAGGTCCTTGGCCGCCTCCTCGGCCCCGTCGCCCGCGCCGCCCCCGCAGCCCGCGCCCGCCGCGCCGGCCGGGGCGGCGGGGCCCGACGAGGACGCGGCGGGGGCGGCGGCGCCGCCGCTGCCGCTGCTGCTGCCGCTCATGGCCGCGCCCGGCCCGGCCCCGCCGCCGCCGCCGCCGCCGCTCGCTCGCCCGGCGCGGGCCCTGGCGGCGCCGCTGCGGGACGCGGAGCCCCGGGGCGGCGGCGGCGGCGGCGGCGGCGGCTCGGCCCGCGGGGCGCGGAGCCTCGGCCCGGTCGGCGGCGGCGGCGGCGGCGGCGGCCGGAGCGCGGGCGGCGGCGGCGGCGGGCGCGGGGCTCACGGGCGCCGGGGGCAGCCGCCCGCCTCCATCTTGGTCGCAAATGGGAAAGGAAGGCGGGGGGAGGGGGAAATCACAGCCCCGGGAACCCGGGTGAAAGGAAAAGGGAGAGCGGCGAAAGGAGAGGAAGGGAAAAAAGAGGGGCTTCGGGCATTTCCGGCCGGCTTCGGCGGCGGCCCGAGCGTGGGCTCGGCGGCGGGCGGGGCCTGGAGGCGGCGGGCGGGGCCTGGAGGCGGCGGGCGGGGCCTGCCGCGGCGGCAGCGGTTCGAGAGTGAGCACGGCGGTGGGCGGGGCCTGGGTGTGGGCGGAGCCTGCCGCGGTGGGGGCGGCGGCCCGGGAGTGCGCTCGCCGATGGGCGGGGCCTGCCGCGGCGGCAGCGGTTCGAGAGTGAGCTCGGCGATGGGCGGGGCCTGGGTGTGGGCGGAGCCTGCCGCGGTGGGGGCGGCGGCCCGGGGGTGAGCTCGGCGGTGGGCGCTCGAGCCTGCCGCGGCGGAGCGGCCTGAGAGTGCGCTCGAGGGTGGGCGGGGCTTGGGGTGGGCGGAGCCTGCGGCAGCAAAGACCCGAAAGTGAGCTCGGAGGTGGGCGGGGCTGGAGATGGGCGGAGCCTGCGGCAGCAAAGACCCGAAAGTGAGCTCGGAGGTGGGCGGGGCCTGGAGATGGGCGGAGCCTGCGGCTGCGGCGACCGGCGCGTGAGCTCGGTGGTGGGCGGAGCCTGCCGTGTATCAGCGGCCTGAGCGTGCGCTCGGAGGTGGGCGGGCCTGAGCATGGGCGGGGTCTGCCGCGGCGGCCTTGGCTGCGGCCGCGGCCCCGCCACCTGGCCGCGCGTTGCGCGAGGCTCGGGTCCGGCTGCAGCCTGGACGCGCCCACCCGGTGGGGTGGACAGGAGCCGCCCCCCGCCTTGGCGCTCCAGCTGCCGCTTTCGTGTTCGTCTGCGGCGGCCCGCAGGGGCCCCGGTGACTCAGACTCTGGGCCCGAGCGGCTCCCTTAGGCGCAGCCGCGGGCCTGGCGCACACGCGGGCAGGGGCTGCGTCCTAGCTGGGAGAGGAGCAGGGAGCTTGGGCGGGGGGGGGGGCGGGTGATGGACTCCAACCCCCCGGGCGGCGAGGGGGCGCGGGCACAGCCCCCCACCCACACCGCAGAAAGGAGTGCGGCTGGTCAGTCTGGAAGTCAGAGATGGCCAAGGGCCCGGAGCTGGGGAGGCCAAGGGAAGTGACATCCAGCTGTCGGGGAGGTCAGCCAAACCAGCGGCTGGAGCATATTCGCGTACCGCCCGCCTGCAGAGTTTCATGTGGCTGCAAGACATGGGACCGCTAGCAACGAACGCTTCTGGAAACGGTGGGTGGGTGCAAGGGTCTTCCCTGCTGGAGGTCACAGATAAGGCCCCTCCCCAGAAGGCTCACATCCTCCTGGCACTGACTTCCAGCTGGAGACATCTGTGTCAGCTCACTTTTATGTGAGTTGGTGTGCAGTGTCGATCATAGGTTACTGGGCACCTATATTTGCCTCTCTCCGCTGGGTGGGCTTAGGAATAGCTCAGTAGCAGCAGGCATCCCCAGCACACAGATGTTTTTCACAGCTTTCTCCAGAGAAAAGAACCTCCTGGCCGCTGTGGGGCTGGGGCAGGAAGTAAACAAAAGGAGTCCGGTGTCTCTTATTGTGCCAGAAGGTAAGGAAGTGCACAAAACATATTTTTGAAAATCAGCAACCACAACAATGAGGGGCGGTTATCCAAAGGCCACCGGAGGAGCCGGGGAAATAGCTCAGGGAACAGGCGTGCATGGCATGAGCACGCCGGGACCCAAGCTTGATCTCCCGATGCACGTTTCAGCACCAGCCCACCAGCCTGTTGCCTGGTGGTTCCCAGCCCTACCACCAAACTGGACGATCCAGTTAGCTGAGAAATCAGCTAGGAGTGGCCCTTGGGCCCCCTGAACACTGCTGGAAAGGCAAAAAAAAAATTTTTTTTTAAGGGGAAAGGTTGGAGAGATTGGGAAGGGCGCTGGCCTTGCATCCAGCAGACTGGAGTTCGATTCCCAGCACCCCAGATGATCCCCTGAGCACCTCCAGGAGTGATCCCTGAGCACAACCCAATATGCTCCCTCTTCCCTAAAAAAAAATAAAAATAACAAAATAACCAGGAGCCAATTGTATGAGTCAACCATGGCCAATCTGGACCAATCGAAACAACAAGATAGCAAAAGAGCACTTTCTTACAGTGCAAAGTATAAAATAACTTCCATGAATCCACAATGCCAAAAATAAGCAAAAACAAAAAACAAATCAATAAATGAGGGGGGTAGGGGTTAAATACCTCCTATACACAAGAATCCCAAATCCCTCGGACAGATTTTCTCCTGAAGGTGCAGGCCAAGAACTCGGTCCAGCACTCTGGACCACAAGGAGGGTCAAAAGGGAGCCCAGTGGAAGGGAGACGGGGTTGAATGAACAAGCCCAGTGGAGCCAGTGGGAAGGGGCTGCGGGAGAGAGTGATTTTACCTGGAGTCGCAGGGCAGACTCGGCGACCCCCAGCAGCACGCCGTCGTGGCGGTGGGCCAGCCCGAGACAGGGAAGGATGGCCATGACCCTTTTCCTCGGTGCGTCTCCGTCTCCTCAGTCCACTGGTGAGGAAGAACTTCAGACACGTTCTACAGTCTGTCTGACCCATCTTCGCCCGATCAGTCAAGGTGGTCCAAAGTCAGAAAGGAAAGCGGGGGAGACCGTCAAGGTCACGAGTCTCCCAGGTTTGCACGCGACTGAGCTGTTTGCTTGTGGCTCTGAGTGATGCGAGCCTGGCCACTCACCACACCAGCTTCCCGACTTCTCCCCAAACCCAAATCTATTCTAAAGGATCACCGGCGGGGGGATGGGGGGGTCTTTTCTGCTTATGCCACTGGGCGGGCCGTCTCTTCCAAAGCCAAGTGCAGTCGGTCCCAATTTCACAGGCCACCAGCTCAGGTATGCTGACAATGTTCCCGTCTCTTGCCCCGGAGTTAATTTCTAACTCCAGCTCCCTTTCCCGGCAAGACGGAAAGCATCTCTCTCGTTCAAGTGCACTTGATCTCTGGGGACTTTCTTGATGAAATGTTTCCCACCCACCCCCCACCCCACCTTGTCCCCAAGGTCACCGCTGAGGTGTCGATGCTATCACAGTGTGGCATAGAAGGGAGGGTCTCACCAGGGTATAAGGGTCTGGTGAGGGTATCAAGGCAGATGTGAGGCCTAACTTTGTGCACCCCCCGCCCCCAAACCCTGGGCGTTGCTGTGGCCCGATGCCTCCGGCTGTTGCCTCTTCCTGCCCTCCCTCAACTCCAAGGGGTTGCTGAAGCTGATGGCAACAGTGTGCTGCAGGTTGGGGTGATGGGACCCCCTTTGGCCCACAGCCAGCTCAGAAAGCAAGCTCCCACTGCTCCGGGGATCCCCGTCCCAGAGAGCTGAGCCCTGGCTGTCTTTCTCAGTCCCCACTGCCCCTACCCCCATTAGGCTCTCATGCTTTCTCCTCCCTCACCTCCCATGGCAAAGCTGTTATTTCCTTTTGCAGGAAGAAAACCTCACTCCTGCTTTCATCCGAACCTATTGTTCTTGGCATGCCATTGGGGTACTTTAGGGATCACAGTTTTCCTATCCCCAAACCCTTTCCCCTCCCATGAGTTTTCTACCATGGATGTCCAGAGGGGGCCTTGGGGACACAGAAGGTCAGTACAAGAGGCTTCCTCTCCCTTGGCCTCCCTTTACGGGTCGTCCAGCAGCTACAGGCAGAGCCTGTGGACTTCTGACTCACTAGTGAGAAAGGCCCAGGATTTGGGGGTGGGGTGCACCAACTGTGGGTTGGAGGGAGAGCCTGGGCACATGTGACCATGACGCAACAGGTAATACGTTAGTGGTGAGACTCAGAAGTCGCCCCGGAAAGGCCAACTAGTGCCAGAGGGTTCTCGGGGGGAGGCCGCCGTGTGTGTTGGCAGTTTCCTTCAAACTGTGGGACTGGGCAAAACCAGCTCTCTGAGTGGACCCCCGGGCCTGCCCCTTGCATCCTTAGAGCTGGGATGGAGGTAATTCCAGGAGCGCTGTGTGGAAGGCGGGTGCCTGGGT